GAGTTAAACATCTATCATCCTCTCACTTCTGATGTCAAAGTTTAGCAACAACAGAGAGAGCAGCTTGATGTGACTCGGTTTCTGGTGGGGCTGAAGTCTGAGTATGAACCAGTACGAGCCCAGATACTAGGAGGATCTGCCCTTTCATCTTTAGAGGTGGTGTTTGTTCGTCTTCGGAGGACTTCCAATGGATCTATGTAAAACTCTAATATCTCAGATAAATCAGCATTTGCAGTAGAGAGGTCGAGGTGGCAGAAGTGGGGCTCGAGGAGCCCAGCTTGGCCGTGGTTGCAGTAGTGGTCTAGTGTATGGCCGGAGTGGTAGTGGTGGATCTACACATATTCGTGGTGGTGGTCATATTGGAGGCAAAGATTCAGGGGGAGCTTGTGGTAGAGGACGTGGCTCGGGTCCACGGAGGTGTACTCGTTGTGGTTTGGATGGACACCCTCGACGTGGGCCAACCATGCCATGACTAGTGGCACCAGTTCCAGCTTTAGATAGGAGAACCGGTCAGCTGACCAAATGCCTTCTACCCCTTCAGATGGTGAGTATTCCAAGCGATGGGTATGAAATGTTTATTCAATCCACATCACAGTAGAACATTGCTACCTTCGCACACTCAGGTATGGCTTGTTTGGCATCCACACCCAACCCCTGGATTATTGACTCTGGAGCCTCTGATCACATGACGGGAACTCCAGGTGTGTTTTAATCTCTCACTCATTGTTCAACATCACAATCTGTTACCCTTGCTAATGGTTCCACATCATCTATCTGTGGTGTTGGTAATGTTGGCCTAGACCCTGTATCCCTATCCTCTGTTTTATATGTACCTAAACTTCCATTTAATCTTATGTCTGTTAGTTAGCTGACCAAGTCCCTTAATTGCTCCATTACATTTTACCCCTCTATGTGTGTTTTTCAGGATCTCAAGACGGGGATGAAGATTGGTGGAGGGCATGAAGCTGGTGGACTGTATTATCTTGATGGTGGTGGAAGAACATCAACGGCCCTTCAGTCATCTATTTCTCCTCTCTAGTGGCATTGTAGATTTTGTCATCCTTCGCTGAAAGCGTTGAAGTCTCTGGTCCCTTCATTGAGTCAACTTTCTATTCTAGATTGTGAGTCGTGCCAATTTGGGAAACACCATCGTGTTCCCTTTAGTTCTAGGATTGATAACCGTGTGTCGAGTCATTTTTCTTTAATTCATTCAGATGTTTGGGGTCCTTATAAAGTGATGTCATATAATGGATACATATATTTTGTTATTTTTGTTGATGAATTTTCAAGAATGACGTGGCTCCATTTAATGAAAGAAAGAAGTGAATTATTTGCCATCTTCCAGGAATTTTATGCTGAGATACGCAATTAATTTGGCGTTCACATCAAAATTTTCTGTTCTGATAATGGTCGTGAATACTTGTATTCATATTTTCAAGAATACTTGGACCAACATGGCATTATACACCAAACTTCATGTACCTACACCCCACAACAAAATGGGGTTGCTGAGAGAAAGAACCAACATCTTGTAGAAACGGCACGCTCACTCATGCACCATATGAATGTTCCCAAACCCTTTTGGAGTGATGCAATGTTCACCTCTTGTCTCTTAATTAATCGGATGCCCACGTCTATTTTTGATGGTTGTTCTCCTTTTAGTGTCTTGTTCCCCAACATGTCTCTGTTTTCGCTTCCTCCTCAAGTATTTGGGTGTCTGCTTCGTTCATAATCTGGGTCCCGGGACTGACAAGTTCGATGCACGATCCCTTAAGTGTATTTTCCTTGGCTATTCCCGGACTCAGAAAGGATTCAAGTGTTACCATCCCAGTTCTCGTCGTTCCTTGGTATGTGTTGATGTTACTTTCTTCGAGTCTACTCTGTTCTTCGTGGGGTCCGGTGATGCTGCTTCCTCCACATCACCTCCTCTTCCCCTTCCTGTGGCTGATCCTCCTCCTCTGGTTCCAGTCGTGCCTCCAGTGCCACCGGTGCCTCCGGTGGTGCTACGTCCTTACCTCCAGTGCCTCCGTCCGTTGACCGTCCACCTATCCGTCACGTGTATACACATCGCCCACCTGTACCGGCTGCGATTCCTCCGGCTTCATCACCGTCGACAGATCCAGCTCCAGATCTGACACCAGCCTCTGGCCTTGATCTTCCTATTGCCTTACGGAAAGGTAAACACACCTACATTCTTCACCCTATTTCCAATTTTGTTTCACTTACTCACCTCTCCGCCTCCCATTGCAAGTTCATCTCTTTGTTATCCTTCGTAGTTGTTCCTAAGGATGTCCAGGAAGCCCTTACCTCTCCAGAGTGGTGCCGTGCTTTGGAAGAAGAGCTCTATGCTCTCCATCATAATCACACTTGGGACCTCATCGCTCTTCTTTCTGGGAAGCAGGCTGTCAGTTGTAAGGGGTGTATACCGTTAAGTACTTGCCAGATTGTCGTGTTGAGC